TTACTGAAATCATAGAGATTGATGAGATAGTAATATATAAAAACTAAGAATGATGCAATCTTCCACCCTCAATTTCAAATAAATGAGAGTCCTTCGATCTCTTCTTCTTTTACTTCATCATCATCATCATCTTTTCCCAAATGCGTATAAGCGACATACAATCTGACTATGAGAAGAAGAAGAAGAAGAAGCAGAATGAAAGAAATAATCCAATCTTCTTCGTTTTCCGGTTACACTTGTCATCATTTACAGAGAACTAATGATGAACAGGGTCTACGTAATCTGATCGCTATCTCATTTTTTTGTTTGCCCACTGTAAAAAAAAAAAGAAACTGTAGCCTCTGGACAAAAATACATTGTTGATAGACAGAATAAAAAACAATTATATCGAGAATTTTAATCTAATTGGAACCGAATTGTAACAGTTTTCTTTTTCTCCTTTTTTTTTATTGGAATTAGACATAACTGCATAATATACTATTGAAAGTGTGAATATTGTTTTCTCTCCGAATATAAAGACATATTTACATATATTAATTATAATTTTTTTTGTTTTATTAATGTACAATCCAATATATCTTTTGTCTTTGTCTAGTGATTTCTTTAAATTAGTCGAGACTGTCTCGATCTCGATGGTCCGTATCGATTCTCTTATTTCCACTACTCTATGCTAGTCGTTACTCATCAAAATTGTGATTGAATTAAGAGGCCGAGATGCTCAACGACGAACGACATATTTCCGGAGTTGTGTGTATATTTTGTCGTTGATTGAAAGAGAAAGACGTCAACCACAATTGAAGATCATTTATTTTGAGGCACATTATCCTTCTTCCTTCTTCAAGACGATGACATGTTAAACCGGCCGTCTTCATCGATGAGTATGTGTTTGTCGTTTGATGAACAGAATAGGAATAGAAGGAAAAACGAAGATGATTCTTTCTATAAATCTCGAAAAAGAGATTGATTGAATTCAATGTATTTGATTCGATTCTGTTCTTATCTCTTCTTTTTTCTTTCTTTTTTTTTCTCGTATATATACATAAATATAGATTTTCTCTTTTTCCTCTGGTAAAAAAATCGGTTGAGAGGATAGAGAAACTAATGACATTAAAGAGTTCCGCAGAGCAAACGAGGGAGCGAGCGAGCGGCCGAGCACGAACGATCACTTTTGTAGACAAAGAAGGAGGAGAGAGAAAGAGAGAGAGAGAACACGATTTTTGTTGTCCACATAACTACATAAAAAGAATAAAAAAAAAACGACAATCGTCTGTTATTACTCGTTATGTTTGGTATTATTATTAGTGCCAATGAGCACAGTAACTACTAAATCTTACGTTGTTGCTGTTGATCAGCATCAACAAAGTAAAAGTCGAAAATTTCTACGTATTTTACTTCTTTTTGTTGGCATCGTTATATTGGTGGCTGCATTATTTCTTGCTATTGGTATTTATAGACAACTAAAGACAGGTGCTATTTCCTTTTCCCTTTTATGTTCCCGTTTAAGTGTACTCATTTAATATTCTAAAATATTACAGGCAATCAAAGAAAAAGTTTAACAGTATCTGATAGTAATAATACTGAGTTGATTTATAGTAAGTTAAAGAAAAAACAATAAGATTATTGACTTTTATTATATTTGATTTTTATTAGATCAATCATCACAAGAACTTCGATCTGCACGAAGTAAGATCATTGTTTTTTTTTGTTTATTTTTTGAAAACCCTTTTCTTAAGCATGTGAGTATGGACGTACTCTATGTGAAGCTCGAGCAACATGTACTGAACAAAACGAATGTCGTTGTATATTCAACTGTGATGATGATGAGGATGAACCAGTTCAAGATGTTGAAACTAGAATAACATATCAAAAGCAATGTCAACTGGATGAAGCTGCATGCAATTCTCGTTATCAACAATCATCATTAGAAAAAGGCAAGTGAATAATATAAACCTATAAAAGAAATACATTATTGATGACATGCATTTAGTAGAACTGACATGCTTATCGATGGTATGTTCCCATGGGTCTAAATGTAAAACGGACGCCAATGGTTTGTCGAAATGTTATTGTCCAGACAATTGCAATGAATATAAACGTACAACATCATCATCAGAAGGACCGGTTTGTGGTACAGATAATCGAACATATAGAACAATATGTGAATTAAATAAAGAAGCATGTCAAACACAACAAAATCTAAATGTTTCATATATTGGCGCATGTCGTATGTTGATTTATTTCTTCTTCTTATTTATTTTAAATAACAAAAATATCTATTATCTTTAGAAGATTGTCATCATTCAGATTGTCCTAAGAATAATAATGTTAATCACTGTAATCCTCATATACAATGTTTATCTGAATATTATCCAATATGTGGAAGTAATCTTCAAGAATATTCAAATGAATGTGAAATGAATAAATATGCATGTCAATCAAATATACCTATAACAAAATTACACGATGGCCCATGCGATTCTCGGGAACAACAACAACAATTTGAAGGTAATAGAATAAATAAATATATATATATCCTTGAGATTAAATGTTCAGCAATCGATCTATTTCTTTTTTTCTTGATATTATTGTCAAGCTCGTTCGAAGGAAAGAAAACGATTTTTTTTCCTAAGCTAATTTGCATTAATCGACAATAATTTCTCTCGACAATCAGTTTTCCTTTTCCTTTCTGTTTCTTGTCCTTCGCTTAAGCGTCAAGTACTCCCTAAGGATTTGAGAGACTGACTAAGATTTTTTTTTCGTTTTAGCCTGCAAAGCACTTGCATGTCTTAATGGTAAAACGTGTATGATCGAGGATGGCATTGGTGTATGTCGATGTTTATTTAATTGTTCATCAGAAGAAAATAAAGTAAAAGAATATGTTAATGTTAAAGATTTTTTTTAAAATAATTTCTTAAGGTATGTGGATCTAATGGTATTATTTATCAAAATTCATGTGAATTGGAACGTGATCGGTGTATTCGTGACGACAATATTGTATCAGTTGACAGTTCTTATTGTAAGTTACATATGTCTATTTACTTTGTGGACAAATATTTTTTTTTACTGACGCCTATTTTACTTATGATTAATTGTCAACATTACTAGTTTCAATGTTTGAAGAGAAAACATAGTCTGAGAAAATGAAATAGAAAAATATAATTAAACATCGAAAGGAAATACTTAATTAGAAAAAAAAAATTTTTTTTCTTAGGCACATCATCATGTAATACACTTCAATGTCCATATGGACGATGTCAACAAAACCATAATGGTCAAGTAGAATGCGAATGTACACAATGTTCAACAATTTACACCGATTATGATAAATTATGTGGTAATAATGGATTCACTTATTCGTAAGTTGTTATAAATAATTGACTCTTTTTTTTTCCTTTATTTATTTATTTGTTTGTTTTATTTAGATCAAGATGTCATCTTGAATATGAAGCATGTACAAGACGTGTAAGCATAGAACCAGTTCACATGGGACAATGTGATAATTGTCATAATATTACATGTCCATTCAATGGACAATGTAAATCAGAACAAGGAAATTATACATGTACATGTCCATCAAAAGATACTTGTGAACCTCTTCGAGTATGTTTTATTTTCTCATTTTGTGTGACTTGAATAAGGAAATAATTTAGCATGATGAGTCATATTCAATTTGTGCCAATAATCAACAATTATTTTCAAGTCAATGCGAAATGAATATTCGTTCATGTGAATTACAAACTCATCTTTATGTCATTGAACCTCGACATTGTATACAAGATAAATCTAATTCCGGTAACAAAACAAAAGAATAGGATTAATGTTTTTCTTAATGTATTATTCTATTTTGTCATTTGTCAATAGAATATACTCGTGAATGTGGTTATGATGAACCATTATTTGATACAATATTACATCGTAATACTGAATGTGACACAATTGGACGTTGTCCAATGAATAGTTATTGTAATACGCATACAAATCGATGTTGTGTTAAAGGTAAATTATAAGATAAATTTCGTAAAAAAAACTTCTTTTTTTGGTTTTTTTACAGTTATTACAGCTGTATTACCTTATCGAATGTGCTCAATAGATAAACATTGTGGTAAAAATATGGTTTGTTTAAGTGGTCTTTGTGAATGTGCAAGACAAGATTATGTACCAGCAAGAAAAAAACGAGAATGCAGTAAATAAATAATTTAAAAAATTTATTATTTATATACATTTAAAAAAATGTTTAGTTGCTATTCCACATTTATCTATGGGTTCAACTTGTTTTGATTCATTATTTGGATGTTGTAATGATAATGTAACTATTGCACCTAGTCTAGATCGACGTGGATGTCCAGGTATATAAGAATATGTTTTAGAAATACTTGAATATTATTTTTGCTTCTTTTTAGAGTATTGTAATTGTCATTCAACAGGCTCATTACAATTATCATGTGATCCAATAACAAGTTCTTGTTATTGTCGACCAGCTGTGGGTGGATCTAGTTGTTCACATTGTGAAAATGAATATTGGGGATTTTCTCGTATATTAACACATAATAATACTGGATGTACTCGTAAGTTATTATGCAAAAGACAAATAATTAATTTTCATTCGAAACATTGTTTTTTTTCTAGCTTGTGGTTGTCATCCGTATGGTTCAACACGAAAAGATTGTCTTCAAGATACAGGTGAATGTGCTTGTCATTCATTTGCAACAGGACGTCAATGTGATAAATGCATTGATTCATCATTATCATTAACTGAACGTGGATGTGTCAATTGTTCGTAATCATATATAAATGAATATATTTTAAAGAAAATATTTGTTTCTTGCTTTTTTTTTAGTGAATAAAAATCGGCGTCGTCCACGAACATGTCGAGATTTAAATTGTCTTTTTGAAGGTATATGTCAAACAATAAACGGTCATCCTCGTTGTACATGTCAACATGTAACATGTACAACTGATGAACAACGTTCAATGAATATATGTGCATCCGATGGACGAACCTATAAATCTAAATGTGATATTAAAAAACAACAATGTTTAAAACAATATGAAATTGGTTTAATTTATCCAGGTGTTTGTACAGGTAAATAGATATTAAAATTGTGTTTTTAAATTTATTGATATTTTGTATCAAATAGGAACAGATGGATTATCGAAAGAATATGTTCAATTGGAAGAAGAAGTGTTAGCACAAGACGATGAAGAGAATGTATATGATTATCCAACAGCGGTAGTATCAATGGATTCAAGTAAGAAAATGATTTCTTTTCTGATTTTCTATATGTGAAAAATTTCATTAGAACGATGTGTAACAAATTCAGATTGTGGTGAAAATATGGTTTGTCTATCAGAATTTTGTGAATGTGCAAAACAAAAATATAAACGTATACAAGGACCCAGATGTGTGGCGCGTAAGATGATCTTATTATTGTTTTGTGTATGTCTGTGGGCATCGTAGAATTTTTAAATATAAAACATAATTCTTCCAACTTGATACTTTATTTTAGCTCATTCTAATCAGTTAGCATCGAATCATACTGGTAAGAAAATCTTCTAAAATAAACAAAAAGAAGTTATCTATTTTTTGGTATAAAGTATTAAATCCTGTTCGTCGTACAACAATGGGTGCATGTATGCGACGTACACCATGTGAAAATCATGCTACATGTGTTGATCGACCAGATGGAAATTATAAATGTCTATGTTCTTTTGGTTGGCAAGGACGTCATTGTAATGAAAGTAAGAATTTCAACATACTACTAAATTTTTACACAATTGTTTCGTATTTTTTCTTCAAAGAATTTCAAATAACATTTCCACATTTTAATCGTCAATCTTATTTTGAACTTAAATTACAAATTTCAACAAAACATACTGATAATCAATTATTACGTATTGATCTTATCTTTGCATCTGAACATCATAATGGTTTACTTCTTTATGCTGATGATAAATTAACAGAATTTTATTTTATTATTTCAATAAGAAATAAAATTCTTGATATAACGTAAGACTTTCCTTTATTTTTAAAGAATTTCATTTTTTTTTCTAAAGTGTTCGTCTTGATCATTCTGTATCAACAATTCAATTACCAGATATGATTGAGCTAGATAAATATGCTCGTTTACAAGTACATATTTTACATAATGAAATACGGGCAAGATTAAATGATGGAAATATTTCATCAAGTATAGAAAATATAATTTTATTTTTGAATTTTTCTAAAATACGATCTATTTTATATTACAGAAGTATTACCATTTGGTAGTTCATTTAAAAGTACATTATATCTAGGAGGTTTACCCGAATCTTTTCAATCGTAAGCAAATTTTGTATATATTATATGAATAGATTTAATTAGACGAATTTTTCTAATCTAGTCTCTATCAACAGTTTCATCTTGATGAAGGGTTTCAAGGATGTATACATGAATTATCTATAAATGAACGACGATTAACATTCAATAATTCTGAACATAATACAATTCTTAGTGCTCAAAATATTGGTTTGATAGTTTTTTATTCTATTATTTTTTTTTTATTTACTTAATTTATTATTAGATGAATGTATTGCAAATCCATGTCGATCAGGTATTGCAACATGTCGAAATGAAACTCGTTGTATACCAATAAGAAATAATGACGCAAATAGTTATAAATGTATATGTGATGATTATTTATCATCAACAAATACTGATTGTTTAACATCATCTATTGATCGATGTTCAACAAAACCATGTAATTATGATCAACAATGTATCAATATATATCCAAATAATTATACATGTATTTGTTTAAATTGTTCCTCAGGTTTTTAAAACAAAAAAAAAATAGCTTCGTATTTTCAAACTATAAAATTTCATTTGAATAGATAACCCATATATAGCAGGATTTCATGCAAATAGTTATATTAAACGTCCATCTCTTCAACCAGTAGAACACACAGGAAAATTTACGATTGAACTATGGTTTCTTAGTGAAAGTCCATCAGGTACAAAAAATTTTAATTTCATATCTCTTTTTAAAATATATGTTTATTTAGGTTTATTAATCTATAGTGATCATATAAATTCGAAAAAAGGACATTTTACTATTTTTCTTCAACGACGAACGGTGATATGTAATATTATGATAGGAAGCAAAACTATTTCACTAAGGTAATAATGATATTTTTTATCGCGTCAGTCAGGGTTCTTCGTGTCGATAAATTCGCATGCAATGTCAACGTTTGACATGCTCCTAAGGGATTTGGACTATTGGATTTAATCATCTAAGTGTGTAAATATGTCCTTGAAGTTTTTCTGTTACTTTTAGTTCTCGATATCCAATCGAATTAAATAAATGGCATCAATGTTTAATCGAAATCCATGGTCAAAAATTAACTTTAACAGTCGATCAAGAACCACCTGTTGTAACATTTGAATTGTTTTCAACAAATATGTTTTGGCCACGTTCATTTACATTTATTGGTAATTTACCAATACAATATCGTTCATTTGATATGTTATCAAATTCTATTCTATCCGAAGGATTTCATGGTGCAATACAAAAAGTAAAATAAGAAAAATATATTTTGTTAAAATATATTATCGTTTTAGATTCTTATTAATAATCATTCATTGAATGATATTCGTCAAGATGCAATTGAATTATATAATATAAGTAAATATGATGGATATCCATGCACACCAAATCCATGTACAGCAAATCAAATTTGTCAACAAATTCAATTAAATAATTATACATGTCAATTACGATATAAACAATCAAATATTTCCGATATGTCAATTGAATTAGATGGACAACAAAATCTTATTTATTCATATTTACCATTAAATCTTCATCGAAATTATTTTAAATTCTTATTTAAAACAACAATTTCTTATGGTTTAATATTTTATATTGGTAATACAAATACAAATAGTTTTTCACAATATTTATCATTAACACTCGTTGATGGTTTTATACAATTTACAGTTAAATTAGATAAAAATTCCGATGAAAATTTTCTAATATCAAAAATACGTGTTGATGATGGTCAATGGCATCGAGTTGAAATTGAAAGGTATTCAATTGAATTAAAATTATTAAAAAAATCCCCATGTTTCTATTTAGATTTCGTCGTCGTATAACAATGAAACTTGATGATAATTCTCCTCGTCGTATTGTATCATCAAGTCGACTAACGGAATTTCGTCCATATCCAACATATATTTATATTGGTGGTTATCATCGGCTATGTAGTTATAATGAACAATATTGTCATACATATCGTGGATGTTTAAAAAACTTTTTTATTGATAAATATTTTCTTGATTTACTTAATGATGAAATAAATCAACAATATCCATTAAAACAATGTCAAACTATCGCTGGATAAAAAAAATAAGAAAATAAATAAAAATAAAACATTTAATAATATTTTTTCTAGTTTTTTGTTTGTTTGTTTGTTTTCTTTTTTTTATTAATAAAAATTTCGATTTTAATTGGTAGAAAGAAAGGAAATCAACGATTTATAGAAAGAACAAGAATATCTCGAATTGTTCGACAATAACCACTACCCCACATAACAATATGAGGCAACTTTTCAGTTAAAGATAGAAGAAATGGTGAATCATTTAAATCACAACGATCAATTTGTAATTCGAAATTAAATGATGAGGATGAACTTATTGATTGAATATCCACAATCGTTTCATTTCGTGGTTTCATTGATGAATTATGTACAATGTATTTTGCTACCGTAGGCGATGATGTAATAGTAATTTGATAAGAAGATGCATGATGAAATGTAAATCTATAATTATTAAAATTATCCATTGATGTTAATTCAACATATGAAACTGCAAGTGTACGATTAAATGTATCATCAAATGAACATTTTGTTTGTGTTGAACATGCTCGATTATATAATATATAACCAGTTTTCTTTGCAATTTGATCTAATGTTGATGATAAAACTAACTGATCAAATGATTCAATAGAAATCGATGCTGTTTGTGAAGAAACTGGAATAATTTGTGGAAATCTATTCGGATTATTTAATTTATACATTGATTGCGAAATATGTCGAACTTGAATTATTTTTGGATGAGTACTTGTAAATGGTTGTCTTGTACATGCTATAATAAATACAATAAGAAAACTAATTGTTAATAGAATTAATGTTCGACTATAATTCATAACTCGTTGAATATTCGGTATAAAAACAAGAAAAAATATTATAGCTGGTAAGACAATTAATGAACATATAAGTATATCTTGTGGTATCGATATAGGATGAAACATTCTACCCATTATTGGTATAGCAAGACGGAGAAGACGACTAGTCATTTCCAATGTATGTATAAGTGGTATTAATGAAACAATATAAGGTGCAAATAACCAATACCATCCTTGTTCATTAAAAAGAATAAAAAATTTGATTTTCATCCAACGAATATATGATTCAAATAAAATTATAATTAAATAAATAGGACAAATAAATATTGACCACAGAAGTATAAAATATAATGAACGATAACTAATAAATATAGATATACTCATAAATAAGACAAAAACTAAAAGTAATGACCAATGACGTTCAAAATTAAAACATACACGATTTATATAATTTATTGTTTGAATTTCCATCGGATTTTTTTTCGGATATTTTGATAATAACAAACGATGTAAATATCCCCATAATGCTTCACAAAGTATAATACCAATTAAACAAGGTAATCCAAAAAGAAAAATAGCTATTGTTGAATTACCATACCATGATAATGGTCGTATTAATGATATAATAAATGCAATAAAAACAGCAAGACCTATTCCAGCTAAAATTGATAATAAATAACAAATAAAAAACATAATGATTGAAAGTATACGAATAAGTAATGGATATTTAAAATAAGAATAAACTGAATAGGAAAAATTATCAATTGAAAAATTTCTTCTATACCATATATGATCAATAATAATGACTAATATTCCTATTAGAATAACAAATCCAATAAGAATTGATTGTATTATGACGGATGTTGATTTCGTATATGTTATTAAATGTCGACCAAGCACATCATAATAGATAACATCATCATCATCAAATATAGTTTCTGGTTGTTGAAGATTTATATTACCAAGAAGAATATTACGAGATAATACGAGTGTATTTTCACCTAAATGTTGTAATGCACCATTTTCAACAATTGATGGTTTATCAATTAATGTATGATAATTATAACCATCGAGATAAAAAGCAAAATCATATCCTAATAATGATCCTTTTGATGTAAAAACACTATAATCAGTATCCGAACCAGTTAATTCAAGAATTTCATCACCGATAACATTTGCATGTGGTCTTGGAACTCGACTATATTCTCTAACAAGCTAGAATAAAAACTAGAAAATGAATTTTTCTGATTTAATAAAAAACAGAAGACTATACTTGTGATGGTTTAACTCGATATAGAATAGCTTTTTCATTACCACCACTTGAATCGATATTAATAAAACGACGTATATCATCTTTCCATGGATGATTTATAATAAATGCTTCAGCACCATTTAAATTCATTTCTTCAGCACCAGTAAATAGAACAATTAAATTAACTTGAGAAAATGTTATTGATGGATCATTAACAAGATTTGAAAGAAGTTCAAGTAAAATAGTAACACCTGATCCATCATCACTACCACCAGGACTAAATTCAACTATATTAACATATATAAAAATAAATATTTCTATACATAGTATTGTCTTTAATTTATACCTGAATCATAATGAGCAACTAACATTAAACAAGGTGTATTTTTCAATGAATTTGAATCGGATATACGAACTGCAATATTTTGTAATTGTTCAATATTATCCGTAGTAAAATTTTGTAGATTAATTTCAAATTGAATAGATTTTTTAGCCATTGAACGAATTCGATTGATTTGTGAAATGAGAAAAGCACGTGTACGATAATCAGCATATGTATTACTAACTCTCGGACCATATTGAGTTAAATTTGGGTAAAAATCACGAGCACGTTCTTCACTAAATTCATGTAATGGTATCGTACGTGATTTGATGGATGGTAAAGCATAAGATGCATAGAGAGCAAGTGGAGCAGCAAGAAGAAATAGACAACCGAAAAGAATAACCCATAGAAGAAGATGTTTATATAAACTTGTTCGATTAGTTGGTTTAATTAACCTAATAAGAGAAAGAAAAAAACGAATTAAATTCAAATTTATAAATAATTTCAATTCTATTGTCGGATATAAAAATAATTTTTACCTTTGACGAATAGTAGACGAAAGATTTTTAACTGAAATTCTATTATTCACCATCTTTTTTTTTTATTATTATAAAATGTCGTATAATGATGGCCGGCCAAGGATTTCTATTTCTAATCGAAATTTTATGACTTTTCAAAAAGAAATATATATATACCTAATATTTATCAGTTTCTTTTTCTTTTTTATGTAACTTACGAATAGACATCTAAGTTAAATCTTTAATTCGAAAGAAAAAAACCCGTTCACATAATTCAATCACACAACATGATTAATATGATTTTTATCTTCTTATCATAACTATCGACATATGTTTAAATACATTTACCGTTTGAGTATATGTTGATGTTGTACATCTGATGCATCATCATCATAAGTTTTTTGTCGATTGAGAAATATTTGATTTTCATTACGATTATGTTTCCCACGTGTTGTCGGAAGTAATACAATTTCTTCCACTTGATTCTGCATCGACTGGGTATATATATATATACAACTGTTTAGAGAAAAAAAATCAATGTTCTTGTTCTATATGAAATGAATATAAATTATAAATCGAAATAATTACATATTCGTGACTGTAATAATTTTTATCTATTAAATATGTATACAAAAGTAGTAAAAGAACTAGACGAAATCATAGATGAGATGTATATATCAATCACTCCATCTATTCATATACACAGTTATTACGAATAGCTTTTTCTTTCGTTCTGTTACTAATATTATAGAAGAAAAATGACACGTAGTTCTTCTATGCAATAGTGTTATGTTACAAGAATGATAAACAGCGCCATTACTTGTTGGATATCTGGTAATGTATTTTAGTGAGAGGTTAGTGCAATGGCGAAATAAAATGAGATTTATAGAAAAATGACACTTTTGAAGTAATTTTATTATAGTTGTTGTGTTGAGTGAAATTTGAAATGAAGGTGAAGCCTTTTTAATGATACCAAACCAAGGATTTTAATACATTTCTTATATTTTTTTTTAGTATCATAAAACATAAAAGTCATCTTTACATTTTGGTTTTTTTTTTTGAACGAAAGAAGTTGGTTTACCAGAGGTTATCGTTACTTTCTTGTCTATTAACCTTGACAGCCCAACAAAACAGATGTCTTGTGTTTGAATAAACTAATATGTATACAGACCCTGAAAGTGAAGTATAAATAATGTAATTCTACCATATTTTACATTGATGAACAAGTACCAGATATTTTATTCCAGAAGTATTTGAATAAATATTGAAAATTATTCTAATTTCAATATGAAATATTACGATAATCTACATTCACAATGATTATATAGATGAATAATTATCGTTTCGTGAAATCTTTCTCTGCATATAGTATATAAATATTTCGGTTTTACTCATATTATTTAATTATGATCACAAATCAATTTCATATTTATATCGATGTTTATAGTAATTATTTAAACGTACTTCCATATATCTACTAATTAATTATTTCATTATTTACTATTTCAAAGAAAATGGACTACGAGACGTGAATTTATCTGTAATACTAGATGAAATCAAATGCTAAGTCTGAATGAAATATTTTAAATGCTCTTATGAACAATAAATTTTATCGACTATTATTTATATGAATAGTAGAAACTTTTTGTCAGAACCATTTGATTCAGCTCTCTAATATGTTATTAAGAGTAGTATTAAGAAATTAATCATTCGTCATAATTTAAAAACTTATATAAGAACAAGTAAGTTTTTAGATGACTTGATATTGTATTACATTATTTAATCATACATATAATAAAAATCTACCAATACACAATAGTTTATTGGTACCAATAAATTATATTGACAAAAATATTAACCTACGCGAAAATAATGTATTCTCGTTATTTGTTTATATGTTTGCTAGTAACCCACTCACTTTTTCTTGTTGCGTATTAATATTTTATTACCTTTCTGACATGTTATTAACGAAAACGTGATATTTTCAACTGATATGTATAATAATTTTATGTGAATAACAAATATGACCCATATATATATATGTCACCATTATTTTGATACTTTTTTTATCTGCGACATTACAAAACCATTTATGTACAATGAAACAATACAAAATTTGGTAAAAAATATCGCATTTATTGCCTTGTTAGCAAAGATAATAGGACAAAGCATGAGAAATATTCATATATGATTGATCCATTCAAGCACATATTGAGAAAAACAAGTTTTTTTTCTTCTCAATTCCGTAGCAAATATCAGTCAAGCATAACTACCTTATATATATCATATATTAATGATAAATTGACACATTGTACATACCTTTTGAGGCTGTAATACACTAAACAAATGCATACTTGCTCCATTTATGTTGTTTTTGTGTATCGTGGTAAGATTAGGTAAGTATGCGCTAATGATCATACTGTACAATATTTTTTGTGAAGAATACTGTTCTACTTTACCAATTATTCATTTTTGCTTGTGAAATCTTGAACTAGAATTACATTTTCATGTAATTATCGATGATATTATTCTTATTTTTCATAATATTTTAGATATAAACTATTTTTCGACATTTTTTTATTATATTATTTTAATCATGCCGGGTGAAAATGAATGGAATGGTAAGTTAAATTGATTATTATGATATATATAGTTATATATGATCATTTTTATGTATTGTAGAAGATTTATTTGGTTGTTGTAATGATTGTGGTTCATGTTGTTATGGATTTTGTTGCACACCATGTTTATTTGGTTCAAATGCCAATAAAATCAGTGGAAAAAATTGTTTTTTAATGTGTTGTGCATATGGACTTTTAGCAAACTGTTACCTATGCTTTATTCCACATATGATGGAACGACAAAAAATGCGTGAAAAATATAATTTAAAAGAAAATCCATCATGTGGTGACCTTCTAACAACGTTGTGTTGTGGCCCATGTGCACTTTGTCAAGAAGCTCGTGAAATGAAAGGCAGAGGTATATTATATATATATATACAAAACTTATATATAAAAGAACTTGTGTTTCTTTTTTATTAGACGCTCAACCAAAAGTGGCTTTTAAGGCTGGTGAAGGTCCACCAGTTATTTCACAACCGATGTAAGCTACAAAAATATATTTAATTGAATTAAATCAAAATCAAAATGATATTACTTCTTTTATATTTTCCTATGTTTTATGTGTAAAAATAAAATTCATACATTAATCTACTAAACTATTTGTTAAAAAATCTTATTTTATTGTTTTAAATTTTTTCCAATAAAATGATGTTAGTGAATAAATTCTGTAAAATATGACTAATTTGTCTTCTTTTTTAATAATAAAAAGTATAACAATGGTCACACTTTACAAACAACAAAAATTACATAATTGATGAATAAATCAAGAAACGTACTAACTGTTGTACATGTGGACTCCCGGCAACGTATATATGATTATTAAACAAAGCTGCTTGTAGTATATTTCTCAACTGTGTCGAACATATTTTCATCTTTTACTAGGTGATGTCAAACAAATGCAATGCTTCTTTCTTTCGTTTTGTATGGCTATATGTGCATCTCATAATATCTGACGTGATATCGCTCTATATATTGTCGATTGCTTCAAAGACTATCTTACAACGATAAATTAATCAATTTCAATTTATATAATCATAAAAATTTTTTTCTTGATATTAAATTATTTAGATGACAATTCTAAATTAGATAAAGATATAACATTTCTTAATAATATTAATGAAGAAAGTTTTGTTTGAAAACATATTTTAATGAAGTATTTCCATCAGAGAATTTTGTAAATGATATTCTTATGAATAACAATCAATCAATAAATGAAAAAAATATATTAGTAAGTTTATTCAACTTAATTGTTCTTTTATATTTCAAATTTAAATAAACAAATAACAAAAAATCTTGAGGGTGTAGATGAGAGTTCTTCTTCTTTATCTTCATTCTCAAGATAGATTACATAGAAAATAAATTTGTGTCTTCAATTGCATCCACACTCCGAGTAAATCGTATTTATTAAAATAAGAAAGAATGTATATATCGAACTGATTCAAATCACATAATGCTCATTTCATGATCTTTATTAGATATATAATACTCTGGATTAAAATAATTTGACACAAAATGATGTATATAAAAAATATGAAAAATAAGAAAAAGAAAATAATAAAAGATTTTGAATACAAGAGCAGAAATAAGAGGTTTTACAATGAATAGGAAAAAGATAAATATCATTGCCTTAAACACACTGTTTTCATTTCAAAATTCATAACAAATTAATCTCTTTTATATATTAAATGTATTTTACCTGATGTTGTTTACGGAAGTGAATCGTTAATTATTCAAGATACTTGATTGTATAATAATATGTCATAGTTTCGCAGATGATCTCACATAGTTGAACAATGTATAATCTGATCAAACATTGATCTACAATTGTGAATGATGAGTTTCTGCTTATATCTTGTCTTTAATAATCATTTGCTCTTTCATTAAATTGTAATTATCAACGATATGTTCGAAGGATAAATTCATCAAGTTGTTAAGGTAGTTTTTGATTGAACGCATTTTGATAAAGTCCACCTTCATAACTGATGAAGTTCTTGTACATAGATCATTGATATTTATTATTGAATACATTTATATTGTAACATAAATTTATCCTTGATTCATACACTTAATCAGTTGACTGATAGTTTTGCAAGATAAGAGAGACCATTAATTTTATTTTTGTTAACTTTTTTACCATATAAACGTTTTGTTTCTATAGTGATTGAGTATATCATATTAGATCATTCGTTAGTTGAACTAAAATTTCTGCTTTCTGTTAGATGTCAATATACATGTATATGTTCAGTATATTCATGTTGATCTGATTTTGAGAATTAGAAGTTTGTATAATTGAAGTTTTTGAAGCATAATATGTACTTCGATAATAGTTCGATCAAGACGTAGTTACCATTGACTTTGAGAATAAACCATTCATTTTAACCTTTTCAGCCTATTCGACTATCGTCGATAAGCTAATTTCTTCGAAATCTACAACATATTAGTATTCTTGTTCTTGTCGATTGTTTTTGAAATGTTGCAAACAGTCACTGCAGAGGAAGATCATCATTAAGAGTGACAGTATTAGTAGGCATTTGTTGCATTGTGCATTTGATTTTGACAATTTAGTAAATAGAATTTTTATCAAGCTGCGTCCACATTTTGAGAATTTTTCGATATCGTTAACAATAAGTGTGCAGTAGAATAAAGAAAGACACATACCGAGGAAAAGTGCGGAAGGATATTCCTCTCCTCGCTCTGCATTTACATAAACAAGAAAAAATTATATGAGAAAATACATTTTATAGAAAGTCAGAGTCAGTAGATACACTAGTAATGTTTTAAGTTATGTCTTTCGAGTACATGCTTGTGTAATTGATGATTATGGTTATACAAAAAAAATGAATAAAAAACAAAGAAAACATCGAGAGTACAAAAAAACTTAATGAAACATGTTCGCAAAAAATGATAGTACATAAAAAAATGATACTACATAAAAAACGGACAAAAATATACAATGTGCTTAGAATCGTATTCTTGTCATGGGCAAAGATCAAAGTACATCACAAATAAAAAATACAACAATTATTTTTGAAAATTTGAAAAATGATTAAACTACTTGTTTGAGTTGTGAACTTTTCGAAGAAATTTTTTTCTTTAGAATCCTTGATGTCTGTTAACGGTTTAATAAACTTCATAGATTAACCAAAGATGAAAATTCCAGGTTTTTTTTGTGAAAGTTATTTACTAATGATTTATTTGAATCAGACTTAATATGCTTGAAAAATATTCCTCTATATTTTCTAACCCTATAAATGATGTTTTAGAAGAGACGCGAGTGAGTTTGCTAAGAAAATCGGTCTTACTGGGAAACTAAAAGAAGCTATTACTGATTACTATGTCAAAATACTATGTTATTCCTGTATACTCTGGATTATTAGGAGATGCAAAGACTAAGAAGAGCTATCATATAAAACAATTATTTTTCATAATTATGTATATGATTGAATTTCATTTGGAACTATTCTAAATTATGGATGAAGATTTTGCTGTCGCCTACATCGAGAAATATTAAACACTGCGTTTTGTGCTCTATTTAGTTTTAAAAAAAGAGACATTTTTCCTATTTTTATTGTAGTATCAACTTTATACTTTCTATTATGTATTTTCCAACCAAAATGTTCTACATTACTTGGAAGTTCATTTAATGTTTCTAAAATATTAACTTGACTACCTCTATTATTTTCTTCAACGTACTGCTTCAAAACTTCTGCTGTCTTCTCATCTGCTACTGGAATATCGATTTCAAATGGCGTCTTACACTTTATAGGATCATCTTTTCTTAAGCCTGCGTCTGGCCCAATTCTAAGATTATTTGGATGCCAGGATACTGCCTTTTGGATTTCAATTGCTACTGCTTCTGGTCTATCGAGGACTTTAAGATTTTCTTTCAAGTTGAAAACTTTAATAAATCTCTCTTTTGCAATGGCATTGTTTGGATGGTTTATATATTCATTTAGTTTTGTTTTGAGACTATGCTTATCTCCTTTATGGCTCTTAACAAGTATTTTAAAATCTTCTCTTATTTTCGCTTCTGGAATTAGATGATGTTTTGAAATTGGAACGGAATTTTCATTATCGTCTTGCGCCTTAATAATATCTAAATCTTTTGGTGCGTCTATTCGGCCATTAAATTCAGACTCTACTAATTTAATTAGTTCATCAGTTTCTTTATCATCGAAATATACAGATTGACCCCGTAATTCAATACCACCCATTGTCAAGGCACTCTGTTTATATTGTTCTAATCTCATGATATCAAAAGCTTGATTAGCAAGTATTGCTTTATTATTTTCCATTCTAGTAACAGTATTTGCTCTTAGTTGATTAGGATCCTTGTTTGTTTGTTCTGCAATAACATTAAACAAACAATTATTTTTTCCAGAATTATTTACTTTAGGTTCTTTTCCTCCTGGTAAAGTCCAGTGACCTCGGGGATTATCAGCAGTAGGTTTATGATATTCTACTTCAACTGGTGCACCACCTTTATGCTCACCAATGATACGAATAACATGTCCTTTTTCATCTAGAACTTTTATTGGTCTCCCTATTTCCTCTCCAATTGATCCTAGATGAGGCAATCCAGCTTCTCCATCATTGTCTAAATCCTTTATCATCTCATCTACCTTTGCCATAGCGACTGGATCTTTCATTCCTTTTTTATATTCTTCTGGTATTCGATTATTCCTATCTTTATCTTGAAAAAATTCAACGCGTCTTTCTGCTTGAAAAGTTCCGATTTCCTCCTGTAAATTCCTATCTAATCCTGCTGATAAATGCTGCATTCCAACGTTAATACCAGCATGAGTAATAGGTGTAATTAATTTGTTTTTTATTATATTACACATATT